AGGCTTTCCGATTTGCGTTTTGAATGGATGCCAAAGCCAACAGGCTCCTTGCAGAAGACATTCCCGATTCAAAGTGCTGTTTCTTACATTTAACTTGTTCCACCCCACGGACCATACCCTCCTTCTGTCAGTTGAAATGCAGTCTTACTTGAGCCAGAGAGAGAGACAGTTTGACCTCTGAAGTTAGATGACAGAAAGCAAAAGCCACCATGGCTGCTGTATGGGATATATCAAAGAGTTTACACGCGTTGCAGACTTGGATGTATCTCTGTGAGCTCCTCAGTAGACTGGGAAACAAATACTCCGGTCAGGCAAGGTTCAACAGCACTATGGCTACAATTTGGTTTTTCATCAATACACCAGTGAACGTCAGCTTAAAGTGCTTTCACTATTTATGATGTTTTGGTCATTTCCTAGGTCGCTCATAATCAAGACCAGTCAGAACGACAGAGTAATTGCAACTGCTTCCAGATTAGATGCGTGCTTAGTATCTGTAAGAAGGAAAGCGTCAAGAACGTGTTCTACTAGAGATGGAGAGAATTCCCGTAGCTTTCTGTGCTACGCTATGCTGTCCAAGTGTGATAAATAGTACTAATATAGTCTTCCTAAAACTTTGGCTATAAGCTGTGAGATCACAAACTGTATTTTGTAGTTACAATTCTGAATTTTTGAGCATTATAATGAAACAAGGGCTGTTTCTAACAATAACTTACATGTAAGACATTGAATACCTATATATCAGCAAGCTGGAAAAAAGTATTGTAAAAACACTTTGGAATCACTAATAGTGTACAACCAGATACGCTATTAGTACATAGCAGGGTACAGTTTAGGTACAGTTAGTGTACAATCTAGCTTTAAAGCAGGAATCGCACCTTTAAAATCCATTTTGCCAATTTAAAGAAATATTACTGAAAGGAAATTACACGGTATTAAACCTTCCCCCAAAACACCTAACTGAATTTTGAAAAGCAACTAATTCAAAGACTCCTGTGGAAAAAAAAAGGTGGGTTTTTTTTTTGGGGGGTACTAATTATCAGGACAACACTGTGTAGTCTCATTTGGTTATTAGCATATAGACATTTTTAACATAGTTCCTATACAACCGCTAGTTTTTTTTCAAAGACTATTAAGAGAACATAGCATTTTAAACCTTTTTGTTATTAAAGCCCTTGGGTTTCACACGTTTTCTTCTAGAGAGCTGTATTATAAATGATTAGTACATCAATATGCGTGGTAAAACAAGCTGGAGTTCTGCTTATGGAATTAAGCTGTATGTCTCAAAAAATGGAACAACTGGGAGCATAAATGAATACTCAACTGCACATGAACTGCTTTGTAAAGTATTTAAGCAACTTCAGCATGCAAACATGTTTAAAATACAAAAGTTATTTTTAATTTTCCACACAGGTTAAGAATTGCATTTTTGTTACTCACATGGGAGTAACATGTTTTTATAACATGTTACCATTTCACGAGACTACATTCTACTAGAAACTAAGACTAGAATAACTAAGGAGACAGGGTTTTGTTGTTTTTGTTGGGTTTGGTTTGTTTTTTTGGTTTGTGAGGCTTTTTTTTGTTTGTTTGGGTTTTGTTTTGGTTTTTTGTTTGTTTGGGGTTTTTTTTAATTTTTTTTTTTTTTCCTTTTAGGAAAAAGTGATTCAGACTAGGTCATCTGTAAAGTTGCACTTAAAGACAAACTCTGTGCACAGCTGAACCCAGAAGACTAACTCAACTCTGCCCTAAATGTAGAGCAGAAACACAGCACACCCTATCCGTAAGGGACAGAGACATCTCACACAAGAAACAATGCTGCAAATTTATTTTCTTTAGTTTTAAATTTTTATAACCTCAACTTTGTTTATCCCACATAAGACATTTTCAGTAATAAGAGATCCTCTAGTTCAGGTACTATACAATTGCAAGGAAAATGAAGGGCATGTGAAGTACAAAAAAAATTGAAAATACTAGCTTACACTGGGTAGACTTAAAACACTCCTCAAAAAAAGTGGCTTTGCAGCTTTTTACCTTCGCATTTTGGAAATCTTCTCTGCAGTCCAAAGACAGGCAATGAATGGAGAAAAAAGCAACTCCAAAGCAGGCGGAATGAACAAAGAGGCACATTAGTAGGAAAACCAAAGGAAACACAAATCAAACAAGAAAAGAGACACTCCTCCAAAGTAAAACACTTTTGCAGGTGTTTCAGAAATGCATGCTGCTGTCCATCCATCCTAGCTGGCTACATGAATCACACTCCATACTATTTAGTAGTCTACATTTATACTCGCAATAGAGAGCGCACATCTCTTGTACGGTACATAATTCCTTGCCCCAAAGAGCTTACAATCTAAGTTCATAAAAAAGAATGCATCACATAGCTGGATCAAGATCAAACAAATGGAGAAGACAGGGAAATAATTTTATAAGGGATTACAGTTGGGTTACATTTCTAAGTGAGGTAACTTCTGAACATCATTGGCAGTGATGTTCTTAAGACATAAGTAATTTTTCAGTTAGAAGCTCTTCTGATCATGAAAAACTGGTTTAAAACGTACTGAATGATGCATTAAAAGTAATCCACAAAAATTCTTTAGAATTGGCTTGTTGTAAGACACAAAAATGTTCGGACTGCCTAAGTTCTTCACTGGAGGCACTGTCATTCTTCTAGAAAGGTATGGATGTTACAGAAATTCATACGTACAGGTCAAATTTGAATGTAAAAGGCTTTTTATATTTAAGCTCAAAAATGTTAAATTCCGATTTAAGAATCCTGCTGCTATAAACATAGGCTTAATACTTAAATATTAATATGAAAATAGTACTATTTTAAAAACGTATTTTTAACGTTAAAATAAACTATGACAAGATACAGTTGGTTTGAAATCAACATTCTTTAACCACAGTAAGCAACCCACTTCTCCCACTTTTTTAAACACTGTTCTTGCTACACAGCAGTTAGAATAGAAGTGCTTAGTCCATCAACTTTACAGTTTTTTAGTTTGGTTTTGGCTCGGGGTTTTTTTGCATTTCCCTAAGTTATATCTTATTTTTTGAAGGCCAAGTCTTGCACTTTATCTACTAATTGGCAAGACATAGTTGAAATGTCATTTATATATAACCTCTGCGCCCATTTAGCTATCATTTCTTAATCCCTTTACATGCAAATAGAAAGTACCATCTTTCATGCAACTATGACATTTGTGTCTTTCATACCAGGGAATCTTGCTTTGGATTCTATACATAAACCATCTGCAACACTTCCATGACATTTGAAAAAAATGTTGGAATAGTTATAGTAATAAAAATTAACCACAGTTACCCAGTCTGTATATGATAAGAAAAAGAGAAATACTTCTTTTTCACAGTAACAAATGGCATATACAGCAGAAAAATCTGACTTCAGTTATCCTTTTGGAAGGGAAGCAGATGTTAAAGAGAATTTCATTTAAGCACAGAAGTGAGACAGTGAGGATAAGGACTGCTAACAAGCAATCATTTAGTTTTAATTTTGAAAGGTACCCTGAAGGAAATCAAACCAGACCTGAAGACTAAAGAACTATACGTTTCTTTGACCCAAGTCAGTACTAGCATTTACTTTTTAGAAGTTACAACTGTATTAAATTTGCTTGTAGGAGGATACAAAAGGAGTATAGCCACAGATTACCAAGACAATTTGATCATTTCTGACCAACAGCTAAAATAATGGAGGGAAGAAAATGGTCAAGGGATTATGATCAACTGTTTCTCGTACATGCCACAAAATTACAAAAAATTCCCTGCAGACCTGTAACAAACCCCTCCCCCCTATCTCAATGAGTTTCAATTCCCAGGTAAAGATGAATCAACAAAATTAAAATATTGTGCTGTTTTATTGGTGTAAAAATCACACAATTGCTAGTTCTGATTCTGCAGAGATACATCCATGCAGTTAAACATCTATGATCCCACAGCCAGAAGAAGCCATTAAATAGAGTATCTGCTGTTAGTCAGCAATTAATGCAAATTTACATATGAGATCAAAAGGTGTGTATCGTACAATATACGACAAATCCTAATACAGTACATCAACCTGAATAGCAGGATACACTCAGGGAACTCTGTTAATAGTGAAGCCTGTCTATACACCAGAGAGATAAGGCCTGGAAACAAGATGACAGAAGGTACCCCAGAATTCCTAAGAAGAAAACTGTTCACTTTTTGTTTATTTTTATTTTCTTTTCGCTGGGAATTAGAAGTTCATAGAGGTATTGACACATTACTTGACAATACAATTTGTTATAGTGAAGACTGGTGGATGTGATCTGTTATTAAAAGGTAATGTGTGAAACATGCAGTTACAGGTGGTGCTTAGGGCATGTGTAATTACTATGTTGGGGATTTACACCCAACTCTTTTCACAAAAGGGAGGACTGAAAAAGGTCTTTTTGATAGACTACCGATTGTACCATAAATCTTTATATGCATGCGGCTGAATCAGGATCATGAATGGATAAAAATGTGAACACCTGGCAATCTGTGGTTACATACTCTATTATGTATGCAACAAAACCACAAAATCAAATCCAGTTGATATGGCAAACAGCCTGCGAGAACTCTCTCAACCTGAATAAGATGGTTTATTGCAAAGAGGCAGGCTTCCTAGAATTGTGAACAACTTTCCAATTGTGAAAGGCAGCTTGGGAAGTAACATTGGCTGATGACAGATTATTAGTTTTTCCTCTTTTCTGGCACAGTAAAATAAACGCCATAGCAAAATAAGAGTTTATGTGCTTAAAGTCAACTGATTAGCAATCCTCTTCTGCAAAGATGTTTCAATGGGAAAAAAGAAATCACTAAAAAATTCCAGTTGGAAATTTTGGCGACAAACTCTGCAAACTCAAGTCCAACAAAGATCACGGATGCCCACAGAAAATTATGTGAGAGGCAGTGTCACATTCAAGGAAAAGGTTTGTTGTGTTTTGTTGTTGTTTTTTTTTTTTCTTCTTTTTTTTTTCTTTGTATTGAAATTAAAATACTTAAATACAAAAGTGGACAAATTGACAAAACAGAACCACAACATTTAATGTAGAATAGAGTGCACTGAGCTAGATGCATGGATCTTTAAATAGGCTTTGAAACCAATACCCCTTTCAAAATTAGTAAATTCACAGTTAACGGCAGTAGGCTTAGAGGTGAGAGAAGGGTCGAAGTTGTTCCAGTTGGACTTCCAGGGAGATTCTCTCTTCAAGAACATCCTACAAAAGAAAGATTTTTCTACTGACTATCCACAGAAAATGAATATTAAAAACTTCCTCATGCGTCCAAAACTGGTAAATGTCAGCTTCAGTTTTGAGAACTAACGTCTTTTCTAGAATCTGGAGAACTCTTCCCATAATCTGAATAGAAGATTGGCTAGCTAGTAATTACTTATAAATGAAAATCAACACTTTCCTCAAAGGTGAAGCCATTTAGTATTTTTTCATTTCTTTCAAATCACCCAAAACCACAAAGCTGTAACCAGCTGCAAATCCAACTATAATATTTTCAAATGAAGTCTGAAGTGTTAAGGGGGTAAAGCCCTCATCTCAGTTAAAGGACTGGAAACTCACAATTCCACCCCCGTCCCCCAAGTTTTTCCTCTTACGTGATTTTTACACACCTTGACTCTCAAACAGTAACAAGTGAAATGCAGGCTTGATAGTTTTTTAAATTGCCTATCTTCCACTGTAGACAGTATCACATTAATTCATGTTTACATTTAAGATTTTTCTAACCTGATAATTAAAATTAGATATCTTAAGGTAAGGAAGATGGTGCCTACAGATATATCCAAAACAATAACAGCTGACCTAGATAAACAGATGACTATTGTTGCTCTTATTAATCTGCAAGTTTCATATTCCAGATTATTGTATTTGTTTAAAAATATTTATAATTTCTGTAAGACTTTCCTTCAGAAGAAAGCAAGCCACTTCAGTTGCTTTTCTCAGTACTGCTTTTAAAGTATCTGATAACTACAACAGCTACTTCAAATTATTGTTAAGATTTCTGCTTTTTATTTTTAATGTAGCTGAAAGCAAATCAATACATTGAAAAATGTGTTTTGTAGTAGTAAAAGTGTCCTTTGTAATTTCACAAAGCTTGTCACAATTAGGTATATTCTATGATTTACAAAAACAACGAAATATTTTATATAGATATCCTCTACTATGTATACAACTGGTCTGCAGAGATGCCTGTTACTGTGCATCACTCACATCTTGCCCTCTCAGGCTCTTCTCTTAAACAGAGAAAGATTATGGATTTACCTTTAGTTGCTGCTGTAGTTCACTATTCAATCTGGCCAAAACAGTATTGGTTTCCTTGTTACGTCTGATTGATGCCTGAATTGCCTTCTTGTCTTTCCCCACTGATCTGAGAATACATTAGAAGTATTGTAATAAGTAATTTTGTCACTTAGCCGAATATCTCATTTATAGCCCCTCTTTTTAAAATAAGCAGAATCCTCTTTTCAATTCTTTTTTAACTTGTTACACTGTTAATTTTCCCTCTTCTGCCTGGCTCGATTGACCTTGTTTATTTGCATGGAAGCCACACATACTTGGTTTCAATGAAACAGCAAGCAGCACATTTTAAAAACTTGTCATAATCAATTTTCTGAAGTCCCAACACACCATATCACTTTCATTTACCTCAAAGTGACCAAGGTAATAGTCTACTTGCATGCTAGGACACAAAGACTGCACATTTTGGACTGTTCATAGCAACCACTATTTAACATTAAACTCTACATCTTAATACTTCCACCACTTATTTGCAACATACTTGCAGAAGTTAAAAAGAGTTCACACTCCAAAATTCAAGATCTCTAAAATGTCTCCCAGTAGTAGAGGCTTCGGGATGATCTTGTTTAAAACACAAAAACTTTCAAACTGTTAATCTAATTCAAACACACTGAAATTGTTTGCAACTCCTGGAACAGAAAGTGTGTATGCTGTTTAAATGTAAACTTTCCAGTAACAGATGTATTTATACACTTCTTGGGTTACCTAGGAATAGATGGCTGTGAAGCAAGAACAGCAGCTATGACACCTGTTTTCTGTGTATGTTCCTCAGCTTCAGGTCTTAACTCATCTTCTGATTTTAATCTTCTGCGAATAGGCTTTGGTGGTGGAGCAAGTGGGGTAGTGCCTTTACCCTGAAAAGGAAAACACAGCCTATCAGTTCTCACAAACCACATTTTACTTGGATTATAACCTAGTAACTTGTTTGTGTCACACATGCTTAAAACCAGTTACTAAGCTAACTAAATTTACAACCCATCAGTTATGTTCTGATGGACATCTAGCTGCATTCTCATATGGTCTAGAAAAAAAAAAAACCTACAAATGCAAATACACAACATCTCAGAGCATGTTTTCTCCCCAGTAATTTATGTCTGTAACAAAAAAAAGCTACTGTTAACGAAGTTCTGCACTAAAAGTTTTGCTCTGTTTCAAATATTTGAACACTTACAAGTATCTTAATTTTCTGCTATCTTGAGAATAAAGCTAATCATGAACATCTTCTGATGCAAAAATTCACCATACACATGCCTGTTTCAAGCACATATTGGACCTAAGAAAACTGTGTTCAAGTGGAAGCATATAAAGTTGCTGTTACAAATCCAAACAGACATGTAATTTCATATACATCAGACAGCTTTCCTTCCAAGTGTAGTTTGCATACCGCACTAGTGGGGACATTAGCAGGTGCTTTGTCTTCAACTCTTCCATCTGCTTTGGCAACTCTAAGAGAACTTGCAGAATCAGAAGGCTTTTCAACCTGAAGGGATATGAACTATATTTAGAAAACTACTTCTTAACAATAAATACAAGTATGCTGTGTTTCTGATACATGAATACAGTTAACACCTAAAATTCTAGTTGAAGTTGTCTTTAGAAGCACAAGCTGGAATACAACCCCACCACTTGCTTTGGAGCAAAACCATCTCAAACTATCCTGGTCATGAACACTGTTCTGGCCTGGGAGCAGCTTACAGAAGAGGCACATAGGTAAAAAGCTGTACTTCCAGAATCAATAGTCAGACCCGTCCTTTCATACAGAAATTAAGATTCAATACAGAATGTAAAATCACTATGAAAAAAGACAAAATAGTCACTTGAAAGTACTCTGCTCTCAGGCATCGTACTCTGAATGAAGTCAAATCTCCAAGGTTATGAGGCACTGTATAGTACAAAAGAGGCTGTGGCCTGATGATAAACTGCTACAGCTGTTTCTGCTATTACATTACCACCATTATCTATTTGTTACTGCCAAAGGTTAATCGCTCCAACAGAGCACAATGCAACTGTTCCCTATCCACCTCAATGCAAAACAATCAGCAAGCGTAACTTCAGCAGTTTTCAGTGGCAGCTTAAGCTAACATCGCTAATTTTGAAATGGGGTACGTGGAGAGTGCTCAAATGGTTCTGTGTCATTGACCTTCCTGAGTAAGGGAAGCAAGAATACACTGCTGATAGCTGGGAGAACTTTAAAGCACCACAGGCACTTTTGCAACTGAGGATGCAGAAGTGGCCCAGAGAACTTACAATCTGGATGAAGGCTCCAAATTACGAAAGGAAAACATGAAGTAATTAATTTAATAGCAGTAAGCTATTATGACATTAATAGGAATAAACCCTGAGGTTTCCAAACTTTTAAGTCTTATGTCTGTAGTAGGAAACAAGGGTTTTGTAAACATCTCTAATGATCTATTATAAAAGAATGCCAGAGCTCTATTCACTTTAGCCATTTGTCCAATGGCTTTGAACAAAACCAAATTAATGGAATTCTAGCAGATGTTTACGATACTTGACAGTCATCTCATTTATTAAGACACACTACTTTAAAACTTACCAGTAAGTCATTTGGAAGGCTGGCAAGAGCAAGCAGAAGAAAAGTATTGCCTGTGCTAAGTCTTAAATGCACCAACACAATTATGTTTGTGCACATATATGCTAATAACTACAAAATATTTTAAATTACAACCAAAAACTGAGAGGAAAAGCATTTCTTCTGCCTAGGTGTTTGGCAACTACCAAGTAAGCGTCGCAGTGTGTAATGTAATTGCTTTCTAGCAATGGATTAGGACACCATTAAAAAAAAACCCACAGTGAGTTCAAACAGCAAAAGCAGGTTTTAACAAAGTCTTGTAACTGTTGGAGGTATTAGGCAATCGACAAGATCTTCACTTCTGCTCACCTGCAAGACTTCTGAGTGTGTTTCAATTTCATCTTCTTCCTCTTTGTTTACACCTGAAACAGCAAATGCCTCAAACTGGCTGAAATCTGCAAAATTTGGCTGTTCTGGTATTTGTTGAGGTGAGGTACTGGTATGAGCTATTAGGCCTTCAGCATCTACTGGGCGATGCACATGAGGACCTGCACCCTGCAATAAAATAACAAAAATATTTAATGACATTTGTCTTAATATAGTTATCCGATGCAAAGAATCTCACCAAACAACAGTTTGTGACAGAACGTTAAAGATTATTTGCCTTTTTACAGCAGACAAGTTTAGGTCCTGTCAGTAGGACAAAGTGCATCTCATCCAAGACACAAATGCTCTGTGTTTATAAAAACAGAGAAATATTTAAGAGAAAAGGGCGTTCAATCAGATATGCTATTATCCAGAGAACAAGACCAAAGATGGATGCACCATAGGACTAGCTAGACTTATTGGACAGCAGATGTCAGATCTACTGACAGAATGCTGTAACACAGTCCAGTTTGGCTCTGTCAGGCTTGATACAGATTTTTAGTCTAGTTCCATAGGGAAACATGCTTATGTGATCACACCGTATGGAATATGTCTGTCATTGTATCCTCTTTTCCTTGCAGATGATTTCTGAATCCATTGACTGACTTCAACTGCTGGTAACTCAGATTCTAAAAAGTGACTGCTGTTGAGAAACAACTGAAAAGCAATTTTATCTGTCCCATGGCAAATCTGCACAGCAGTTGAAGGATTCAGCTGGTTGAGACAAAGAAAAAACAACTTTTGCAGGATTTATTTTCTACCAAATTAGCTAACTGAACTGACTCAGACCAGGACTGCAAAGATCACCAAGTTTATGACAAAGAAAGAAGAAGGATCACTCCTTTAGGGAGCAGGCATGTTATGCAAAACCATACCCTGTGCCAGACAGATGGAAGATAAACATTTATTTTTCAAAACCTTGAAAGATTGCTGTCACAGTCTCTGTTATGGCCTATTAGCTATACAGGGACAGTTAAAGAAATATGAAAATTGTTAACTTTCCTCTCTTTCCTACAACTCAAAGCTCCAGAGACACTCATTCCTCCTCAATCTCTACTTTAATCCCTTCCCATGGTTCCACCAGAAGCAATTCTTTATTCAGGAAAGGCTATCATTTGGCTATAGTCTAGGTTTTGCCATCATTCACATCCTGGCAGTTTCAAAAAATACCAAGCAATGCTACTGATTTTAGAGATAAGCTAAAATCCAGAGTTAGATAAAAATGATGCACCAAGTTAGAGCATGATTTTTCAAAAGTGACAACATCACCTGTGAAGGCTGTGGTCTTGGAGGCACTGCAGGAGGATAGGCAACAACTCCAGCCTGTTGCTGTCCTGTAAAAGAGGCATCGCGTTTGGCCAAGATTGTTACCCTTCACGTTACGGTGCTAATTTTTTCATTTGTCAAAATGAAGAAATCCTGCATTTTGCCCACTTATTAACCTGTCATATTGAGGATCGTAATTGTAATGTCGTGTCCTTTCAAAATTTGCAAGCAGACAAAACAAGGAATCAGAATATGGATCTTGTCCTTTGTTCCAGCTCAAAGTACAGACATGGTCATACTTTTCTGATCTTAGTACTTTCTTTTCTTTTGCCCTCATTATACACTCGTAACATTTTCTCATACTTTGTGACCCTGAATTGAAAAGTACTGACAAGTCAGAAGTACAATAAAAACCCTTACGCAAAGCATCAGAAGCGACATTTAATCATTTGCTCTGAAGTGAAATACTTAACACCCGTCTCTAATACATCTGGTATCAAAAGAACTCCTCTTAAACTCACTGGCAGATGCAACTCATTGCATGTGGGTGCACTATCATAATGTTATTTCCTGACTTTGTTTCCCACATTCATCCAAAGGACTACAATGCCACAATTAAGAATTTACTTCTAAATTACCTGTTTAAGCAAAGCGGAGTACAAATTTTAATGCAAACAGGAAGAATGACAACATTTTTAGCTTTTTCATTCAGAAGCACTGTTTTAAAAACACACTCTAAATCTTTCCTCAGAGGAAAAAAACATGTCTGCTTCAGGAATATGTGTGCTGAAAAATAACAGACACTAGGAAGACAGTATATCTACCTGGGGTAACTGAAAAGGATCTGTTCATATCTAAAGACGATGATCGAGAATGAGAAGGATGAGGCCTTGGAGGGGGTGGCGGCGGCGCAGTGTTATCTGGAGATGTTCCTGAATGTGATCTGCAAAGCATACAAGTTTCTGTAGTGACTTTAGGTAGCTACAACAGAACTAAAATTCAAAAGTTCTTCAAAGTATGCAATTCAAAACCAAAGTCTGACAGATGGAAAAGAGTCTGATTGCCATTGATTCTGAATATTGCAAAATCAGTTGTAAACTTCTGATATTCTTTGATTTCACAATTGTTTTTATATTTCTATTTACTTAAAATAGAAAGTTATTCAAATTATCCGCTATCCAAATTATTCTTATATTACCACAAGTAATTTATCTTTGGGAAACCAACAGCTTGACACACATCCCAAACAATGATAGTTCAGGAATAGAGAATCCTAAATACAGTAATTCCATCCAGATGGTAGTCACTATAATTTGCCAATTATGTAAGATGTAGTCAACATCCTGATTAGGTTTTAAACGGGTTAAGTTCAATGTCACTGAAGAAGAGTATTAAGTTTCTGTTGGACCTGCCACCCAAGTATATTTAGCGTGAGGAGTATCTCAGTGTACAAGATAGCTATTTAATTCTCTGTCTTGAAATTTTCCAAATCTATATACTTGGCAGCACCTTCAGAAATTTTCACTTATTCTTAGGTGGGATCACCATCTAGCGGATACCTGTTGTAAGTTCGTCGAGCACACATGCTGAAAGGATAGAAGGATAAAGTACCGCACTAAGTGCCATCTAAGTGGGATTTATTGTATACAGAATTTTTGTACAGCTTTCATTTATAAACAGCTTGCAGAAACCTCCTAACCAGTCCAATTTGAGCAAGATATTTACGGAATCACTGACATGAATACAGCTACTCTTTTATTCAACTCATAAATAAGTGATAAAATCTTTTCTACAACTGACTTCTGTAACAATCTTCTATAACTATCATAAGATACCAAACAAGGAGAGGCAAGAGGTGCCTAAGTTTCACACAAAATTTGAAATTCCTGAATGTATAAGTCCAGATAGAAAACTGAGTTATCACAACAGAAAAATTTGTTTTCTTAATATGCTCTCCAGAGCAATGCTTCTGTAACACTGTGTAACTCTCAAGAGCTGATGAAATACAAATCTAATTACACTGACTCCTAGGGTCATCCTCTACCTAGTCTAGTATAAAAGGCACAAGCAGGATAAAAAAAAGGGAGAAAGTGGTTTAAGGACACTCATGAAGTACCATTATCTGACATAGACTTACCAGGTTTTGCTTTTTGAAAATACAAAAAGTACTCTGGACTAATGGTGGGGTCATCTCTATAGACAAAGTTGGAATTGGTAGAAGAGATACCAGCAGAAGGAAGCAAAAGAGGAAGTTGGAGAAAAATTTCCTGGGTGGATACTCCCAGATCTGGACAGAAGTTACCTGTGCCATAAAGCGGCAACTCATCAGAAAGCTTCACTCATCTACACAAGTTCAGCAAGAGAACCCAACCCAAAATCAGAGACAAAGAGTATGTTGAAACCATCATGTTGATAGTGCAAAAACATACACAGAAGCAGGACAATCAAATTTGCCATTAAGCAACAATGGAGGAAAGAAGTCTTCAAGCTGCGGCACTGAGAGGCAATTGCAAATCTATCTTTGCTATTGAAGTCACCCTAATTATTTTTGTTTTGAAACTTACCTCTGAAACTGATTGTAAGATGGTTAATGGCATAGCTGGTTTTTAATCCTATTCGGGCAGATTTAATGGGAACAATTAGCACCAGCTAGTACAGCTCATTCTCTTATGTCAAACGATGCAGTTGTTGGTTATGTGCTTGCATTGCTTCCTCCAATCCTTTAATTATGTTGGGCCTATGGCTGCCCTTCATTTTGTAAAAACCCATTGTTAAAAGTGATTGAGTTTCTGCCGTGATATTTCTAATTTATGTTTTATTCTTCTCTTATGCTACAAAGTCACAAGGTCCTTCTCCATTAATGCCTAATGGATATTTCTAAAAATACAAAAAATTTGGTTTCAAATGACATCATAACCTCCTGCGCTCACATTCCCTTGTGTTTAAGGAGAAAGTCTTTATCAAGATTTCTGACTGAACGTGGAGTTTCATTTGACTGGCCAATCCCAAACAACTTTTAGACTACATTATTTTTTGAATTTTCACTTTACATATTAACAGGAATGTCATACATTGTTAATGCATTAGAAAACAGACTGCCTCCAGACTCCCGAGTGTTAAAGTTAAGAATCTATTTAGTCATCATCTTACAAACTATTTGTCAAACAACCGGAAGCTCAGAATAGGCTTCTTTAAACATCTTTTATTTATTGTTTTCAGTTGCTACTCTACTGACCGTTGCCGCGTTACAGTGCTTCCAATTTGCTCTGGATCTGAAGTATAGGAGTCCGAACTGCTATAACCATCTGCTGGTAAAAGAAAGTACAAAGATTCATATTTGTTTTACATCATTAACATACCCTAGCAGCTACAGGTAATATATAATTTCAAATATCCAATTTTTATTTTTAAAAAAGGTTTATGCCCTTGCATTGCTTCCCTCTAAGGTATCATCTGGGCAGGATTCAAAATCCTTGAGTCTGAGTAATTGAAGGATCCAGTACAAATCAACTCCCCTTACCCAATACTGTGAGTTGTTGTTTACTACTGGGATGTACTGAAGAATAAAGAATGACAATAATGTTTTTAAAATATAAAATATAAGTTTCATAAGCAATAATTTTTAAACACTTGACATTCTATCACTTCAACAATCTAGCCAACAAGAGTAAGGGACATCCAAGAAAAAAAGAAAAGCAAGGAGTAGGACATGCTTGATTTTAGAAGTGCTGTAGGATTGTCACCAATCTTAGAAGTCAGAAAAAGGAAAAGATATGTGCAGTACACAGATGAACTCAGTAGCTTTGCTACTACTGTAACTTCTGTACCTTCAAAGCTGGTAGTCAGTTCTGTTTTGACTAAATCTTTTTAAAAGCTTCCAGCTTTTGGTCAAGGCAACCTATAAAAATAAAATATGCTACTACAGCATCACATAGACAGTTTCCTTAAGGACACCCTTACCCTTAAAAGCTGTGGAAAGCTTGAGCTTTTCTTCCCAGAAATGAGGGGTCTCACCAAAATCACAAGATTTGTGTGGAATGAATGTAGATAGAAAAACAGATCTTGGAATAATTTATCACAAGAGGCAATTCCAGAGCACTGGGTAAAGCACAACTCAAAAGCACTGGAGCAATGAGACCCATCTGATTAGTTATAAGTAGAGAGGAAAATTCTACTCAAGAACATGAAGATTTTTTTGGAATTACTCAGTCTCAAAAGATTACTTTAACGTCCCAGGACACTAAAGTTTTCAAAAGTGTTAAGACACATCAACCAGGACCCAGAGACGAGAATCCTGCAGAGATGACTTTCCTGTTCAGCAAGGTGCATTCTTACCTGTTACTTTTTTTTTCCCCCTCTCCTTAAAACTGCAGGTACATTAATCTAGTGAAGTTGGTTTGAGACCTTTACCATGCACAGTCAGCTGAGGAATACCTTATTTCAAGTTCATTTCAGACTAGAAGTTATTTTGCAGGTTTACAGGTGTGTGTCTATTCAATGACGACTACAAAGAATTAAAAAATGGTATCTATATACACATTCTTTAAAACAAAAAAAAAACAAACAGAAATATCTACCATGAGATGACATTTAAGTTTTCAAGGATTAAGTGAAAGAATTAAGTTTTAAGCAGGAGTTTGTTACGTTGTAAGTGAATTATCCCTCTCCAATCCAAACACCTCTAGAACTGGGTGTATTTCTCAAGCCATTCAGGATGTAATATAACCTAGTCAAACAGATGTAATCACACTTCTAAAGAGGAAAAAGTCCTTCTGTACCAAAAGCTTTACATCATTTCATTACAAAAGTACTGGGTTTACACTGATAATAAAGTATTCCTAAACCAATTTCAAAGACATTCGGACAGTAAACAATTTTAATGGTTATATAAAGCTTTTCAATGTTAGTAATACAAGTTAGTCTGCAGAGTTGTTTCTATTTCATTATGAAGGAAGGTGGTTTAGATTATCCTGCCCTTCCAATTGCAGTATTCATGATCTTGTTTGTATCATTTAGCAGGAGTTTAAATTAACATTCACAAAATTGTCCTTCATGACACATTGAAGTAGCATGTTGCTTTAAAGTTAAAACAATTTGGGAAAACCTCGGTTATTTTTACTGCTTTTATTTTTATTTGCATAAAAACAGTTTCAACACTGTGGGTGTCCAGCAATAAGAATGATTGACAAACTTCTCCAGTTACCACTTTCTGAGGTTACAGATCCTCTCTCCTTTGCTCCAAATCACATTGCTTGCACAAAGACAACTGTACAATGCCTATGCCTACTGACTACTTTCTTATCTCAGGCAACAGAAAATTTTGTCCCTGCTTCCTGGCTTAGATCTGAGCTGCTATTTACAAATTCGTAACTTCCAAGCTGAATTGCTGTTGACATAAAGCATAGAAAACAAGGACAAAATGCTAATTTCTCAACATCAAGATGATGCCTATAAATCCCGATTGGTTTGCAGTTCAAATACTATTTCAACATATCGATCCATGAACAGCAGACTATGAGAAGTAAAATAGTTAACCTGCATCTAAATTTTGATCCATAAAACACTAAGAAATCTGTACTCTTCTGCACAATGCAGAAAAAAAGCACGTGAACCTATGAACAAAATATTCTAGAAGAAACATTCTTAAGAATATCCATTTATGAAACAACACTTCCAAAACAGCAATATATAAAAAAACCCCAAACCCACAAAACCCACTTAGAAAAGAATTTGCTTAAATTAAGATTGAGACTCCCTATTCTCAAATGAATTCTGGCACAGCTTAACAAAAACAAGCAACTAAAGCAAACACTGAAAAATGAGTCCAGCCCAACAACTCAAGGAAGCACACTATAGACATTGTCACTGATTTAGCATGGAAGGTGCTCAGGTATACTATTAAAGTACAATACTAAAAAACATTAAGAAATGTAATTACCAATACACCAAATACGCACCAAAGAAAATGATTTCTTCACGATTCACCTGAAAGGTGTTAACCTTCCAAATTACTTACAATATTGACAAGCACTATTTCTTCAGACAAAAGATAGACATCTCATGATAACTACAATTTGAGATACTATGAAGTGGCTTTATGTTCCACTGCAATGAGGTTTGTTTTATTTCACTATACTCTTCATCTGAGGGAAGAATACTTCTTGGTATACCTACACTTACAGGCCCTTTATCAAAGGTTAAGCTATACCTGGATAAGGAAATGGGAGTACAGAAAGGGCTCTCAGAACTTAGACCCTGCATATAGTAGTAGTTTCCCTACTAAAAGACCATGTTTGCTCATTCTCTCTTTTGCATCAGAAGACTACCTAGTAAAAACAGAACTCTGCTTGAAAAGGAAAAGACAAGACAGGCTCAAGACAGTACTCAGAACGAAGAGTGCCACTGAAACAGAGCTCATGAGGAAAGCAAAACATTGCAAAACAACACTTTTTAAATTACTCCTGTATTATAAACCAGCCAAAATACTTCTGTCTTTATAATGCAAAGGACTCAAAAAGTGATGAGTCCTTCAAACTTTATTTTTACCAAAGAAAATTTCCCAGCTTAAAGATAACAAAAAAAGTCTCAGAAACAGACTCCAGAGATTCATTCAAGCTACATATAATCTGGGACCTCTCTCAATATTAGACAAGTGGACTGATCAAATCAAAATAATGCAAAATGTTTTGGACACAGGAGATACTGAATATCAAAAAGGCTATTAGAAGCAAACAAAGAGTTGAAAAGCTGTACCTAAAAAAGAAATATAGAAGTCTATCGCATTTTCTTAGTAGCTAAACCAGACGAGAATCGCCTGAAAAATTTGTGGTCAGTAAGTCTTCACTCTTCAGAAAACATGTTGTTACATGGTTCTGAGGAAGTAGAATCAAACACTACTTAGTCAATTCTACTTTCCATACATTTCAATTTCTTATCCTAAGATTAAAAGAGAAAACAGAAAGACAGAAACGAGCTGACAAAAATTAACTTTTTTGAACATACATGGCAGGAAAATATCTTGTGACATCAGTAGAACTTTCTTAATTAATACTTCTAATATATACTCTGTATCAGAAATGTCTCTGTTCTTAGTTTATCTCATTTTAGAGCTTCTGTCATCTAGCTAGTTTTAATTCACTGAAAAATGTCTCAGATCTACATTTTGTGTAATGTAAAAAAATGAGATCAGAAAGTACTTTGATACTTACTAACTGTATTTCCAGCAGTAAATTTTACAGATGAACTCATTTTGTTTTCTTCTGGGAGATCAGGTGGTTTCACAAGTAGTGGGCTAGTAGGGTTAGCATGATCTAGATGGAGAAACAAGTTGAAATAAACAAATGTATTCAAACTAGCCTTTACTTCTGATGCCAAAGCTTCACATTAGTTTTCTGCCCTTATCTGAAGTGTTGCACTCAAAACTAAAATTGTTGTATTTTAACACTTTTGGTGTATGAATTATTTTAACTTTGAAGTTTTACATTGTAATAGTGTTATTTCTACTTCCCAGTGTTAAGAGTTGGGAATTTTTCCCTATTTACAGGGCTAAGGAAATTTTACAAGAAATGTGTTGTGGATACTTGTTTATTCTCATATGCTGAAGACTGTGCACGAGTGACATGACTTTAGGAAATATTTCCATATTGGGGCACATCTATAAATTTAGACTCCACCATTCCTCAAGGAAAATTATCAAACCACCTTGCTTATTATTGACCAGAGTATGAAAAAAGGCCTGTCAATACTCCCAAATGCTGTCAGGTTTCAAAATAAGCAGCTCAGTATTTCTGACCACAGTAGAACAAGCTTTATCAATGCAGGCTATGCTGCCCATCTTCACAGTGTCCTTCAATATTAAATAAGGAAATCTAGACATTCTCCTGGAGGCTCAAATCAAGTCTATGCCATGATGCTCCTGAACTACTCCAAGCAATGATCTCCTATAGATGGTGAAATCCTCACTGTAGCAAATGGCGAATTCAAACTCTGCACCTATCTGAATAGTACTCTAATTCTTTAAATTCAGAGAATCTCATTAATTATGCTGGTTACAACTCCAGATATATTCATTTAGCAAAGCCAACTCTAATTGTACAAAACTTTCCTCATTAGCAAGAAAAAAAAAATATCCTACCACTTCCAGTTCTTTTAAGCTCCATTTCCTGCATGTGGATTTTGCTTGGAGTCATTCTTATGGGAACTGGGTGCACAATCGCAGTGTCCTGTGGAGGAGATCAGAGTAAAGTCATGTTAATCTAGTTTTAAGTTGTTCTACTAAGTCTCTGACACCATTCAAAATGTCCTTTCTAAACAAAATTTAATTAATTTTTTTTTTAAACACAGTTCCAGGGAATTGAATATACCTGTAAAATCAAAGCTCTATAAACTGAAGTTTCTCTAACAATTTATAAGTTGTAACCTAGCATACTACTTTAAAAGGGCGCTAGAAATGTTTCTATAGATAATCGTGTTGTAAGTAGGACCTGAATTTTACCAGCTTTCCATCATTTTTGGCATACTAGGTATCCGTTACTTCCACTGCATCTTCAAAAAAAAAACAACAAACAAACAACTCAACAAACCCTACAATTTCAAAACTCCACTCCTTGGCTTTACTTGCAATACCTCAGAACGTTATGGTCTCTAAACAGTATGAGTAATTCTCTACAAAATAAGTACTTCGTAGTAGTTTAAGACAAACGGTTTCAGGAGTCTTAAAAATAGTAAATTCTTCTAAACTTCAGGATAATAAACCCTACGGCATATACCTCCAGACAGATGTTGACCTTACACTTACTCATTTTCTTTGTAGTTCAGACAAAAGACTCCATTTTAATGTACTTTATAGACAACCCTTTCCATTTGGTTTGGAGACCAAGTGTAGATATCTCAAAAAAAACCCTCAAAACTTCTATGTTTGTTCACAAGTAACCTAAAAACATGGACATAACTGCCTGAGGTTTTTTACTGTTATCTATATTCAGAATGTATGAAAAGATGGGACAATGCCAACACACACACAAAAAATAATCCCAGATTATATTCTGTCCCTGGAAAAAACAAGTTTCAAAACTATCCTTGAATCAGAAATTTAATCTGTTCCAAGTACTCAAGTACATCAATTTCACCAAGTATAATGCATTTACATTAATATTTTCTAAAACTGTTAAAACTGGCCTGTACTACTCTTTTTGCAAATATAAACTTTAAAAACCACTTTCTTGTCACAGATCAAATGCTCTTGTTGCACTAGGCTTTTATGAATACTTATCACTTTAAAACATTACTTTCCCCCTGCCCCATAATGGGATTATCATGCAAAGATCACTCTTGCTGTAGCTACTTCAGTCCTCTGCTGTAATCTAATGTGCAGCTACTACAAAAACCACGTCTTAAATAGTTAAATGGATTTTTATATAATGTATTAATTCAGATCATTAATCTAATTTTACACAAAACAACATAACATGTTACCAGCTTTCACTTAGAATAGGCAAATTATGTTCCCATACCAGGGGACGAATGTACTGTTTTACGCTTTCCACTTATCTTTTGCCTCCAAAGCAGGTGCTTTTCCAACAAAAAGAGGAAAGAACTGGTCTATGAATTTACGTTTTCATTAGTTATTAACAACTGCTGGAGAAAGCTGCTTCTCTCCTTTGGGAAAGCAGGAGATGCTCAATAACTCAGTCCCATGCATCACTATTGAGACTGCTAAAACAAGAAATCTGCACATTGCTACTGAAAACTTGCTGTCATTTGTTCTTATTTTCATATGAAAATAAAGACTCTGAAGTATCTATTTCCAAAGCCTGTTACCTTAGCAAGCATCAAAATGCTCACCATTCTTTAAAATTCTCCTCAACTACAAACATTGTACTCGAGAATGTGATCTCCCAGTATATTTTTTGTATTTCTGTTGAACTTGTTTATACACACATGCAAACATATATACGGATATATATGAGTTTTCCATATATCATCACTGTTCTACATTTTAGATTATCAACGTATGGGAAAAAATGTCTAACGTCAGATTTCTGTAATTTACTAATTATCTGAAAAAAATAAATTACTATCTTACTGTGGAAACAAGACAGTAATGGCTTTTTACTGTGAAGCAATTATACACAGTAAGAAACAAAAATACGCTGATTTCCATCATGATTACTTCATTAAAACATAAAAGTACAGTACTTTTAAGCCAAAAAAGCATGTCTCAGATGAAAAAGAGCTTGTTTTCATTTCAAGTATGACATTTTCATTTGTTTTGAATGTTTACTAAGGGCAATTCTGGGCATAGGGACAGTGCAGTTAGAATTCTAGCTTCCAGCATCTAGAAATGGTATTTCCACACAAATATCAGCATTAATTCTGAGAGTGGAGCACTGTTGTATTTAAAATATATGTATATTTATCTATTATATCTTTCCAGAAGTGACCTGCTTAACACTAAAAGCAGTTAAATGCGTATTATGTACACCTATTCTATTTTGTTATATAATCAAATGGACACTTAACAGTTGTAATTAAATCTGTAAGAAAAGCAGGATGAAAGCAGCTAAATACTGAAGTAATTTCAATGCATTTCAGAACTGCTTCAATGTCACATGCTGTGAAGTTTAAAACCAGCAGAACTTGAAACACTGTAGTGAAATTCTGGCTCCCAATCTTGGCAAGATATTTACCTACATAATCCTTCAGAGCACTCCTCACCAAGTAAAGCATTAGAACAGCACAGGTTTAGCTGGAGAAATACTAAAAGCCTTATTAATATGTAACCTGGTGAAAACATTAGGAATATGAAGTACCACACCCATTAAAGTCCAGTAGTTTTTTCAGTGAAGTTGGCATTGTCAACCCATAAGCGTTTGTGCAAATCAAGCTGCGCAACTTGAAAAAAATCCAAAACAACACTGAAGACAAAAATCTAAACCAGGACTGGTTTATCACTGGGAGTGGCCCTTGCATTGACCTACAAATATTTTCAAAAACCATTATGTTTAAATACTTTTTGTAATATAGGTTTTGATAGCAGTGTTGTATTATATCAAAGTCAACGGAAAAAAGCAAAAGCATTCCTTGCACTCAGATATTAAACAGGAGCAGTACTGGAAAATTTATATTCCTCAAATAAGCAAAAAATTAAGAAGCCTGCCACCATTCCCCAAAAAGCAGTCCATGGAATCATGCATAACAGCTAAATACAATGAATGGAAATTCAGGGTTAATAAAATTAATTTCAAACAAGCAAGCTAAGTGATTGACTTACAGGATCAGCTGGTGCAATGTTAGAATCAAATTGGGTCAGAGTTTGTGAGCTTGAAGAGCGTTCGCTAAATGTCTCCCACTGCTGAACAGACAGAGGAGAGAAGTCAGCATGATGAGAAAGATGAGAGTAAAAGATCACTGAGGAGATTTGGCATAGTAGTTTGGAGGTTGCACTGGAAAGTACTATATTTGCACTGCACAGTACTTGACTTGGAAAACACACTAATATACATTAAGTATTTCTATTTCAGTCTGAGGTTGTTGTGCAGCCAAGGTTGTTATCTGTCAATATTAATCTTTACATTCACATTTAATAATGAAGATACAGGTGCACAGTCAACACCAAAGTACCTTCAGAGTTCATGTTTGCCAAGTAAAAAAACTGGTTACGCCATTCAAATACTGTAAAGATAAAATCAGTGACACGTGTGTATTTGTAATCATAAAATCTACAGAAAGGTTCCTCAGCTTTGTAGCTGCCAAGTTTCAAATCCATTTCATAAATGCTGATTTTTTTTTTACAAAATCCCAAATGAACACTGCGCAGTGTACCCCAATTACACCAGTTCAGCTTGCCAGTGCAACGCCCGAGAAGTGATTCTATGCTGTAAAAGAGCATTTTTACAAGTCTAAATAAATCATTGACAAGGCAAAGAATTAAATTCAAACACACTGTTGATTGCTAAAAGCAAATCAGTCAATCTCTGAACAATTTTATAAGATATAAGCATGCTGTATCAATACATGGTTGTCAAGAGTCCTCATGCTTAGTAAGCCAAGCTACAGCCACAACTGGATCAGCAAAGTACCAAAGTACATAAAATTAGTCTGTGATCCAGACACCAGATTACAAATCCCAACAGGAATGCTAAACTTGTTATATTTTGGTAAAATAACAAGTAAATATTAACGAACTTTCAAACACTACAACAAAAATTACAAACAGAATTTTTAGTGCTCAGAAAATTTGACAAAAAATGATGTTAGTGTACTTGTGAAAACAAATCAATATTCTTGTCCCATCTCTACAGGCAAATGAATGTAAATGATTCCAGAAGATACAGGACAAACTATATGGTGTTAGTCAACCTAATCTCATGTGCTCCCCTACACTGAACTATATTCGGTGAATGGCCTGCATGTGAACTTCATTTAAAAGAGTTATTTCTGAAATAATTCTTTAGGAATTTCCATAAAGAACTGGATTTCAATCAGCTGAAATAAAATTCAGAAACAGATGAACTAAATTTGTAAGTGCTTTCATGCACGGTGCCACTCCTTGTAGAGATAGAGCGTTATCTCCTCATTTCAAACTTTAATTTAAAGGCAAAGGTTATGGGATACTATTCATATGGGGTTTGGGGCATGTTTTTCTTTCTGCTTGGTTTTTTTTGTGGTGGTTGGGTTTTTTTGGTTTGTGGGGTTTGGTGGTTTTTTTGTTGTTGTTTTGTGTTTTTGGTTTTGTTTTTTTTTTTTAAAAAACCACACAAAACTACTCCCTTCATGGACAAAAATCTAAGGAAACCTTTTTAGTAAGGAAATAAGGCTTCCCTTCCTACCTGCTCTGTCCCACTCCCTGTATTAAACAGTTCATCTCTGTGTCACTACTGCTTCACGAAAAGGCAGCACTGCAAGTAGTTCGGAGCTATACCAACCGGTTGAGTGAGCCAGTTTTCATTAAGTCAGAAGCTGACTGGCCAAGTTCTGCCAGCCTTTCCCCTGATTTGGCCTCTTCCATTTACACAGCTGCTCATTTTCAAGAAACACGCATTAATATTTGTTTTAGGACTACCACTACCCTTTTAAACTTGATTTGGCTATTGGCTTCAAAGTTACCAGTGAGACTGGCAAACAGACCATTTGATTACAGAAATAGTTTCTTCATCTTTCAAAACTTCCATAAAGGCATATAGCATCTATGTTACAGTTAAGATCAATGCTAAAATAATATTTCTTAGAGATAAATGCTAAATTTACCTCTTATTCTACTCATCTGAAGCCAAACTGCAGGAGATTTATTACTTGTCCTCAGGCTCCCTAGCCGGGCATGGACAAATGAACACCAACACCTCCTGACTGCTCTGGGGAACATGCTATTGTGCTCTGTCCTGAAATACTACCAGAAGCTAGTTACTGCTAATTCCCTAGTTAATAGAAAGCTACATATATTAAGGATTTACTAGACTGCATCTCAAACTCTGTGCAAGGTTTAAGAGCACTGACAATACAACTGATTTACTAGGATAAAACTCCTACTAGCTGAAACTAAAATACTTGTCTTCTAGACTTGCAAAAATGTTTCAAAAATACTTTCCAAAGGTTAATTACTAGAAACCAACTCACAGCAACCTGAACCATTAATAAAAGAACACCAAGATATTTGAAACAAGGTGTAACAGTTGTGAACTCAAAAGCAAATCTCTATACCTGTGTCAAATCTAGTATGACCATATGACACTAGACTGTTTTCAACAAAAATTTAGTAGGCTTTTCCATTTTTTTTAAGGTCTCAGAACAAGTGCTTAGCCTTGAGACTGAATGGAAAAGATGTCTGAAGGGAGAAAGAAGTGATGAGTGAAGAGATGAATGTGAAGTATGTATGTAGTATCCAGAGTTAGGTGGATTTTCACAGTGCTCTTTATTCTGGTTTGAGACTGATGCCTTGGTCCAGACTTGTGAGCTTACAGCAACTGAGCCTGGCAACTGGAGTCTAAAAATCAAGTATGAGCTAGAAAGAACAAAGTAACCAACAGTTTTGAAACTAACAGGGATGCAACTGCCTGGAAAGTGAGATGATCTAAAGATGCCTAACTTTTCCAAGCAATTCATTTGTTGATGACAGTTACAAGAGGCTCAAGAGAGGAAACAATTAAGACTGGTGCCTGCAGTAATACCAGAAATTTTTTCATGGCATTAAAACCTTGAGGACTTTGACCTGACTCATGCTGAAAAGAAAATGCTGAGGAGCAAGAAGCATGCATAGCAATATAGCTGAAAAAAATCAGAAACTCCTTTGTGTTAGAACAAAAAACCAAACTCTTAACACTTACTAAGTGTTCAACTCTTACTTTAGTATAGTTAGTATATGGTAGTATATTTAGTGCGAGAACTTTTGCAAACCTCTTAAAGTTTTAGTATATTTTCAGAAAGAAAATACCACATTATCTACCTGAATGGACAAATTCAGTTTTGTAAGACAAGATTTTGGGTGATAGACTTGTCACAATCTTTGTTCCAGTAGTGCAATGACCCTATTCAATCAGTTTGCGTTGCATTGGACACTGAAGGAATCTGTTTGATTACGATGCAGCTTACCAAATCTTTAGCTTATTAAATCTTTATTGTACACATGACGTAATATATCAATACAAATTTTAATACAGTTGCAGACATTTACAGCTTTTTAGCAACTGAGTATCTGCTCACCTCCCTCCTAAGACATAGCTTTCTACCAGCAGTCTAAGAGTCACTCTGTCAAACAGAACAACTAAGAATCACTAAATCATTTCCTACTTTTTTAATTTGGTGAGGACATCACTGTGAGGCTAGCATTTGCCCTGAAGAGGAACAGCAGACTTTGTAAAGTCCCTCCTCCGGAGAGAGGAAGGAAATTTCCTCGGCTCCTAACTTTAATCCTAAAAACGTGTTTATTTTCTGTTTCATACTGACTATCCTTTGGTTTGTTTAAATCTTTTACTACCAATCTTCTATTCATTTGAAGTCTAACAAAGAAAGAAGCAAGCCACAAAAAGCTCTTTCAATAAGAGAAGCACGTAAGATAATACTCAAGCTACTGACAGCACTATCTTAGATGTTAAAGCAAGTTTTAGATTCTTCTTGAGAGTCTCAGGTTATTAAAAAGTTTTCCAAAAATAATTTCAATACTTTGCCCCCCCTTTTTTTCCCCTTATAATGAAAAATAAGCCCACATCATCTTTGTAGTATGGTTGCAGTCAGGATCTCATTTAAGTCTCTGAAGTAGAATAAAACATTGGTTTATTCTAAGTCTAACGCAAAAACAGACAACAAGAAAAACTCTAGGAATCAATCCCTTACAGGCTTTTTAAACAATGGACTGGGGCGGGGGGCGGGGAGGAGGAATATATATATAGTAAAAGCCTGTTTGGTAACTTCAGTTTCAAATTCTGACGAAATACAGCTTTACTACATAAGACTGCTTATATAGCAAATATGTATGGTAAAGGATGACAAAGCAGCAGAACATAACAGTAAAAATGAAAAATTTAAATAAAATTAGTCAACAGTTGACTTCAGATTCAACTTTGAGTCTTTGCTTCTGAAACAAACCCAGAACTATGACTTCTCTACATTATCGGTGAGATAGTTTTATATTTCAGGGTAAAATTACCTCCAGAAATAAGTCTCAATGTCCAGATCTGTCAGAAACTTATTTTGAACTTCTGCCAATGTGTTGGCTATAAAAGCTCTTCAGAGGTAACAAAAAACCCCAACCAAAAACCTGTCCTAAATGAAAAAAAATCAGGAATACATTCTACTTTTCCAATAAATGCTACGAGATAATTTTGTGATTAATATAAAGCTTAATTAGCATTAATGACAACATTTTAAATAGTAGCTCATCTCACAATGAGATAGAAAAATCAGAAGGAAAACATTACCTATTTTACAATTTAACATGTGTAAAACCTTCCTGTGTCTATTGTCCGGCTAACTTTTTTCACAATTTGTGATCAACAATCCATTTATGACGAATTATGGATGCACACACAATTTCGTTATTGACTGGCAATGAAATAACTCTTAAATAAAAGTGCTAACCTCACTGCTCTGATTCAATTCTGGCCAGGTCTGGTTTAGGGATGGCATTGATGGTGACTTGCTTGGAGGTGCTTCTGCTGGAGAGCTGGAGTAACCTACCTCACCAGTCTGTTCCCCAACTTCTGAAATGACAGGAATTACTATAAACCAAAATCATGAATTGCATTCAGTTTATTCTCAGAAGAGCAGCTCACATCTCATGGAAAGTGCAAAGTACCCTTTGGTTTCATCTTTTCCAAGTAAATACTTACCAGTAGACAAAAAACACTCAAGTCAAATATACTATCTATCAGGTGCTACTCTTATTGAGGATCTTTCTGAAAACTGGACTTTGAAGATTGCTCTGTACCATACTATCTCCCTGTACTTTGCCTTCTAAATAGAATTTTTAGATTGATTACATGTAGAAATAAACATAATTCTTTCTTACATTATGAGAAAATTAACTACACACTAACGTTTATTACATCAAATCCAACACTGAGAAGTTTACCTTACAGAATAAAATACTTCCTTATATGAAAGGTTAAAGCAAAACCAGTATAACAATGCAAACATAAACCCAAAATATGAAAACATAGATGAAGAAAACCATTCCCTAGATCATTCTCCAAAGAATATTTTAACTTTTAAGCCTCCTTACTAAAACAATGATGTTTCCATTCACATTTTGCAAATGGAACAAGCCTAGCAACTGTCACATTGCAACTGTACATTGTTACTGTTATTTCAGTTTTCGCTGAGCTTTCAACAAGTACAGTCCCCTGCAGAAACATTCCTTCTTCAGAGTTGTACAAATTTTCATGATGCAGCACACTTATTTGTGTTGTGTTCAAACTATAAGAGATTTGGGTAAAGTAAATCTGAACAGCAGATTAAGCATTCTGGTAGCACAGTAAAATCCTGCTTACAGTGTCTTCTATTTTGCCAGATACCACAATACAAGCTAAAGCAATACACTGAAAGCCTCAAAAAACTGAAGTTCAGATTACAACTGTATAATGTAAGTAACAGGAACAGCTAAAAGTGACTGATAAGTAGCTAGACATATTAACTAGATGTTTGTAGTACAAAGAATTAAAACTCTGAACAAGACAAAATACTGCACAAGAGGAAAGATGGTTTAATTAAATTACCATTTAAAAGGACTGGTTGATAGATACGTTTTTGAAGACTACTGCCACAAGAATGTGTGATACACTGTACCAAAAATTGATTAAAATTTATAAAAAGGACTGGTTTCAGGCTCCTGAAGAGCTGAACTCTGCAGCCTGCTCCTCTACTACAACAGCTCAATATTCTGTCTGCTGTCTTCCATTCAGAAGAAACTCGTAACAAATCCAGTGTCAAACTGAACTGGAAACACTTGATTAGTCAATGGTGATCAACTGCACTTTTGAAAAGCAACAATAACCCATTATTGTCTCCGAAGTGCTGCTGGGGGCAGCCAAAGGCACAGTCTAAAAAGAATAGCCAAAACACTGAAGTCCAGAAAGAAATTAATTGTCCCACCTTGTGGCCAGGGGAGGCTGAGGTGCTACTGACATGAAAAAAGTCACACACAGAAACCAGTAACTCATTAAAATTTCAAAGGTCTTGTAAACTTCCTGTAAATAGCAAGACATCAGGTTGAGGTTCGATGTTCCCAAAACTGTGCCCATCACCTAGCATCTCATACTACTGTCCTTTGAGAAGAATGGCTTTATAGATTATTCCAGATAGAAACTGCACCTGATACCTGCTTCAGACAAAAAGCATCTAGCAATAAAAAAATAGGCGACATCAAACTGATATTTACAGGTGCAATGATGTCATCAAGCAATGAAGATGACATGCTCTGGTCATTGTACACAAAATAATACACTAGGTTCAAAATATGCCAGTGGTAATGTTTTGGGAACGCGTATTGCATATCAATTGCTCTGAAGTGTACTATGAATAAAAATTTTCTAACGAGTTAAAAAAACACTCTAAATTCTCATTTCAGTGGTCAGGCACTAGATAACTGAACCAACAGTGTTAAACACAAGGTCAAAAGATAAGGCTGAAAACTGCTGTGGATACACTACAGAGTTACCTGTGATTCAAGGAATTTTGCAAATACCTACAAGAAACATGCGTAAGACACCTATGGAAAACTTCAGGTGTTAAAGTGATTACGTTGCATAAGATGCAAAGCATGGCAGATTCTTTTTCTTACAAAGAAATGGCATTGTTGCAGCAGCCAAAACAAAAAAAAAATTCACAGAAAAGCAAAACTTGCTTTGAGTTTTGTAAAGGGTTGGCAGCTTTTACTGTTGAGTTTAAAGGAAAATATTCACATTTATTTACGTAAGAGGAAATTCAGACTAGTACTCTTTTCAGCTGCAGATCATAAATTCTGCCAAGACAGATGCAGATGCTATTGACAGTATTCAATTCACAAAATAAATGTATAAGCACTTAAGAGAAGTATTTGTACAAGTGCCTGACTTCATGCTCCCATTTTCATTCACTGTAGTTTTCTCCTACAGGCTTTTCTTACGGAGACAGATCTTGCCCATTCTGAAGAGCTGACATTGTCTATCTACAAATACCACAACATGATAAATCTTAAGTGAAGCTGCTGCAATCCAAATAATTCTTTGAAGCATATAATCCAAATCAAAATACTAAACCCATTCAAACGTATTGTAGAATTACCACATTATTCTAAGAACTTAAACCACCTCATTTGTCTCCCTTGTCAGCCGAAAGATATCAGCACCTCATTTAACATTTTTTTCTACTAAAATTCTGTACAGGAATAGTGCTGTACCAGAAAAATGACCAACTACATAGATGCTTTATTAGACAATAGGTCTATGTCATGTGAGAGAAATCTGTATCCCTGGTCATGAAGCCAGGTGTAAGACCAGACCACTAGGTTAAGGGTTCGGAAAGTCTGCAGTGGGTCACAGAACAGATTCACAGGGGCTGATGAGGGAGAGGCTGCCAGAGCAGACCACAAGAGTTGTTCTCCCCCTCTCTCTGAACAGAGACACGCGGCGCAGGGAGCTCGCTGTTACTTTTCTTTCTGCTGGCCACTAGTTCAAAAGTCAAAATGGAAAGAGATGGCAAGTTTCAAGCACAAAGCAGAAGCGTGGAAGATCAAGGGGAAAGTTTCTAACGAAAGGACAGAATTAATAACGGTATTGCTAACACTTTTGAAATAAAGTTTAACATCTTGCAATCAGTTTAAAAAGATATTCAAGTAATTCACCTTCTTGAACAGTTCAAAAGTTCACACTGAAGCTTCAGTCAGCAGAAGATCATTAACAATTTCTTTGAGAAAGTTGCATCCCACAAAAAAAGTGCACTGAAAAAGACTGTGCCACACTTTCCAGTTTCTATTTCTGAAAAGGCTGTTGCAAGCAAGCTTTATTGAAATACAGCTTTTATGGGAACTAAACAGAAAACATTACAGAAATTTAACTGATTAATCTTTCTAGGCTGATTTACAGTCCTCAAGTTGAATCCATGTAATTTAACATGCACATTAGTCCACGAAAATCTATGAGTTAACTTTTAATTTAGATTAAAATAGTAAATGTATACTGGAGACTCGGACTGTTGTAACTACAAAGTAAAACTATAACCATGTTAATAACTTCTACTGAAGTCGTTTGTTCAATATAGAAGTTTTGATGATAAATCATGTTAGGTGCTAGAAAAGATGACCTACTTCCAATACTGGTGGTCCAAATAAAAAAAATAATGTCTAGTTAATTGTATAAAACTCAACAAGTTCACAAGAACCATTACTTTTCGTTGTAGCTATTAATAACAGCAGAATCAAGTATCAATCAGAACTTTTTTTTTAACCTTTTAACATTAACTAGAACACAGTAACTTCCTTTTAATATCAGAGGGAAAAATCTTTTTTTTTTCCTCCTACTTTTAAAAGTAGTTTTTCCTCAAATTTAAAGACCACTTTGTGCCTCATGAAAATACATCAAAGTTTTACATTAACAAAGTTCCCTGTAAAATAAGAACAATGAACATACACATAACACTTTTCAGTTCAATGTCCAATTTATAAAGTTTCTAGACAACTTCAGTTAAACGGTAAAAGCCTTGAAATCTACTACCAATAAAGGCAGTAGAAGGTCAGGTACATACATAGTTGTTGGGTTGGTTTTGGCTTTTTAAAACTAACAATGGTTTACACAAATAAATATTACTCCATTTCCCATCAAGATTTTTGCTTGGCCATCACCTTAACACAAAAATAGACAGAATGGGTAGGTTTTAGACACTTGCTAGGTATTCACCCAATTAATCGTAGATATTTCTTAGGTCTTCACCATAGCAAAATGCTTACTCCTACTGAAAACACTTTAGTTGCGGCCAACTGCTGTTAGAAAGGTTTTCTGAGGAGCCAAGCTACTCTCACAAAAAAGGTTTAGTTATTAAAGCAGAAGTAGTAAGAGCCCCAGTATCTGGTTTAAGAACTCATCAATAATTGCCAGATGAAAGTCTTTGAGATCCTACAAACACAGTTTGAAGAGACCTCCTTCAAAGTATTTTATAAAAAAGAAATGAAATTCTAGGAAATCATAGTACCTGTGCACGCGCAGTACAACCTGACTTACCAAGTTAAAAAATAATCCAAAGCAGTTTTAAAATATTCAGTTTCCTTTATCTGTTTTAAAATAAAAAAGGAAGATGGCCACAAACATCCTGTTTTTAAACACCATTTTTACATGGACCAGTAGTTTGCTTTTCAGTTACGGGACTGAGTTTTTGGCAAATATTAACAAGCAGAGCTCACACATGCAATGGTTCATCCGGGAGCATCCAAAGGTAAAGGACTATGCAAAGACTAAGTGCCAAAGCATTGGAGGATAAATCCTGCTGCCAAGTCAAGAGTAGAATTAAAAAAAAAAAAATCCGTGCTACTGATGCTGTACTTTTAAACTACAGTCCTACCTCTAGCACTGATCTGGGAATATTTTCTAAGTATCTTCAAGACTTGGAAACTCACACCGTATTTTCAGAAATGAGGATGAACAGAAAGCATATTCGTTTGAAAGCAAGTTTGAAGTATAGCTGGATTGGGAATTTTGAATACAAGAGCTGATCATAAATAAAATCCATACTGTGACAATTTTGTTTTAAAGGACACAGGCAGTATTTCCAAATTTAACAGTCAATATGTGTACCTTTCCTAAACAACAAATAAGCACGTGCTCAGATTAGCTCCGAGTACTGATTCAAATTTCTAAAAATTGCATATTGCTTTAACTTATACCAATAATGAGTTATGCTCATACAAACCTATAAGTATCTGCTGATATACTGTAACAACGATACCATTATTTGAAAACAGTGAAATTTGCATTGAAGTATGTCTTACCTGTCGAGTCTTCCAAATCAATCAGTTTGGGCATTAAACTTTCAGGTAACTTTTCTGGCAAATCATACCCATTCTTCCTAGCAACTACCAGATGAAATGCAGCACAAAACTCGTCCAATGTCAGTGCACCATCTTTATCAAAATCTGACAGTTCCCTGAAAAGGAGAACTTAGTATAAATAAAAGTTCTTAGGGTTATTTTATTTCCAAAAGACATACTTCTGTTGTCCTACTTGGAAGATCAAAGAATACACTTTGTAGTTCATTTTACTCTATTAAACACTATTTAACACTACATGCTTTACTCTTCAAAGAAGATGAGCTTTCATTAGTAACATTTCTTAGAGCTTAAAGATCATTTAAATTCACTTTTATCTCTCCAGGTTTTTAATGCATTTAAAGCAGTACTACACAATATTACTGGCCTCAGATTTTTGGCAAAGTATACTAAAGAAACAATAGTGCTGAGACAACATGTTTTATTTTAAATGGGAAAATACCCGAGCTAGAAATCATTACACTGAAAGAAAGGTAAAATCTGCCAAGGTAAGCCATTTAATGACAGCATGCAATGATTCAGTACAAATTCCAGAATACAATGAAATACTAGCTTTGCACCAAGTCAAAGCTAATTTGTCATCAAGTCCCACTAACTGCATTTAAAAATATTTGCATCTGTACATTTCATTTAAACTTAGACTTGAATAAACAGATACAGACAAGGAATTATTTAAATTTAAACATATCTTCAACAATAAGAACGTCAAATACATTACTTCTTACTCTGAAGTGTTTGAAATGTCCTCAAAAGCTCAAAAAGCCTTGTAAATAGCGCCAGCCTAGACCCATTAAAGCCCACTAAAGTAATATTGGCATAAATATGAGTAGGATTGAACATACTAGAGTACTAGTGAAATTTCACTTAATAACACCTTCTAGTAAGTAGATTATTAGATGACTGCCAGATAACTGTCATCTTTCTAAATAATTATCCCAAATAAAAAACACATGACTTACCAAATATGAGAAAGCTCAAGAATAGGTAGTTTTGACTTAGTGAAAAATTCTTTAGCTGCAGATCCTGAAAAATTACAACAACCATTTTTAATAAAGCAAGTTATATCATCAGAAGACTTAGAGTTAGGGTAAAGGAGATGAGCTATTTAGCAAAGGTTTTGGGAAAAATGGCACCAATTACTACGGTTAAATGAAGGAAATTAGTTTCAAGTCCTTTCTTGAATTACACCGGAGTTTACTAGAACATTATCAGCAAAATGCAGAACTTTCTTGACAATGGTATGCAAACCTAAGTACACAACAAAGTCTTTCTAACAGAACTGTTGCACCCACAATTATATTTTTTTAAAGAGTAACTTACCTGGTATAAATCCATTTAGATCAGGTTGAATGGTTTTAAACTGATTAACATAATACTGCCTTTGTTCATCAGTTATTTTCCAGGGGTCATCATAACTACTTGATTGCCTACGAATTTCATTTGTTGTTGTAGCTGATGCTACAGTTCGTACTGTTGTCTGGTCCTGAAATGAAATATTTTTCCTCAGTATTATCTACCTAAAATGCTTCTATGAATTCTCAACTTCTTGCCTTCAAAAAATAAAGCATAGTTAAATCTCGCAGTAGTTTAAAAACTGCAGGAAACCATCAGCAGATTGCATCTACAAGGTAAAAACAGGGTATTTTTGCACACTGATATATATGGATAGGAATGACTGCAGGTATGTAAGCAGAAAAAAAAAGTATGGCACATATGCAAAAAAGCTAAACACCAATGTTTTTAAAGTCATAATAGTTGACATTTTTTAAATTAGTTGTTCTCAGTTAATCATTCCAAATGAAGTCAACTCAATGAAACAAGTATCTGTTGGGTAAATAGCACTGAACAGACTACAGCACAGATACACAGTGAACATCTGCAATGAAAATCATAAAAAAAAAAAGGACTGCAACATCAATCTGAATGAAGCAAATCAAATACCAATAAAGTGTCACACCTGGACAGAAGCAGGATGCATGGCTAAAAGAGCACTGGTTGGTGGGGTATCTGCAAAACTGACCCAATTTTCTTGATGAGGTGGTGGTGAATGGCCAGACCATATGGGATCGCTAGAAGCAGATGAGCCTGAAAGTAGAAGAAACATTTCCTTTTCAAAAGACAACCTTGAAAACTGAGGAAGAACTATGGATACAGAAAGTAATAAAAAAAAAAATCCTGAAACACACGCTCCTGTCATGGAGATACACACTTGTAGAATGGTGAAGAAAATGAAAACCAAATTGCATCAAGGTGACAAAGTTCACCTCCTGACAACTCACTCTTGTAGATTTTTATATTAGGTCAGCTTAAATCCGCACTAAAAAGACAGAAGTCAGGAACAAGCTTATTGCAACATGTGTAAAACCTAAGTTGGGTTTTACCCATTTAATGGGTTTTGAATGAGTGAGTTAATACTCCACATTTTCAATTAATTGAAATAAGCAACACTTGTATGGACAAACAGCTATTTAAAAGTGGCAGACGTATTAGCGTGCAATTTTATTATCATTATTATTAAACTTCTAGTTGGCCATTCAAAGAACAAAGCCTTGGAAATTCCTCTTAAGAATTAGGCTTTTTGGCACAGATAATTTTTTTCTAAATTATTTACAGACTAACTTAACTCAGTCACTTAAAAACAAGCCAAGAATAATAAAAGGCATCCATATAGAGTGCTGACATCTGCTATGTATTAACTATCTCGAACACAATAATTGAGATTCACTCAGCGCCTTGTTATCATCTACTTGTGAAATACTGCTGATGTTCAACGACTTAATATTAAAATAATGATGAAGTAACTATAGAAAGATGTGGCCACCCACTGCTCTATGTACAACTCCCTCAAAACTCTCTTAAATTGCAGTTGCAAATTAAAAATTTAAGGAACTCGGATCAGAGGGAAAGCAAACCATTTAGAACAAGTCTAGAAGAATCCCAGGACTCTAGTCTATTCCTTGTCTCCTAAAAGAAATGCTGAACTCCTTAAATCTAAACAGCAGTTGTGAAACCAATTACTTTAATCTACTATTTTTGCACAACTAAATGCTTTCTCTTGAAATATGTTAAATAAAGTCATACTTGGATAGGAATTTCTGCTACGTATGTAGAAGCAGATTTCCTTTTAAAAAAGGCAAGTTGACGACTTCTGAGTTTCTCTAAGCCCTCCACACAACCCACAAACAAGAAACATGACACGAATGTCATGATTTTAATCCTGCCACTAAGATCTAAATTGAAGCAATAAAACCCAAGAACTTATTGTCAAGATGCTGACTAAAAAAAAACATTGCTATGAGAAGTCCATTTATATATAGGCAATCTATTTATGAAGCTGAAAAATATCAACAGTTTCAGGTTCTTGAAGACTGATGACACTACTAGCATACAATCTACAGTAAATAGTGAAGGAAATCTGAGAATCAGTGCAGCACATGGAGGGCTAACATCTAAAGTGACAGTAACATTGTTAGTATACAAAAGTGCTATTTAATATCTGGCAGTACGCAATTACTCTTTCATTCCATAAATGACCTTTTTCCTAGGAGAAAGTAATGACAGAAGTGCTTAGAACTGGTTTATCTTTGTTTTTCTCCGACATACGATAGCAATAATTGTGCACAACACATTTAATCTTGCATTACAGAGTGTAAAAACTGAGATTTCCAGGGGGAGAAAGACATTTTTTTCCGAAGGAGGAGGTAAGTCAAATATACAAAATTGAGAGGTTACATTATTTCTGATTTTCATTAAAATATGAGAATAATACCAAGGGGATTTTGGGGGTGGGGTTGTGTTGTGTTTGGGGGCTTTTTTGGTTGTCTTTTTTAAAGTTAGCTTTACTAGGATAAAGAGCCACTATTAACTACTTTTGTTCCTAAATTTGTTCTCCACTTCTGGAAGGTCCTGATGTGACCTGGAGCTTCTAGTGACTTTTCCCAAAACTGCTGAGAATAAAGGCAATGAGTTTGACAATGCTTTTTGCCTTGGGGTTCCTCTTCAGTAGGCTGGCCTAACTCTAAAACACTAGAAAGAAACGTGCAGAAAAGCTCAGAGTCTCTCTCTACCTGGTCCCTCTCAGCATAGGGCTAACAGAGTAAGATTCCGACCAGTCCTTCCCATCTCTCCGCTGGATATGCCACACTTAAATTTTACTTTTCATAGAATGGCTCTCCCCTTTCTCTGCCCCTCAGACACTGACATTATTACCACTAACCTTGTATCTGTTTATTCCGCCTTTACTTCTTCAAACAACTTGTCTCAGTACACTTCAATTTGTACCCTGCTTAACACAGCACCTCTTCCAAAGCAGTACTTTGGCAGCGATGGAGATGTGAGCAGCACCAAACTGTCATACCTTCCAAGTACATTACAAATATTACAAGAACTGTTTCCTTTCTCCCCTGTTCAAATAATTCCAACAAGAATGCTCTTGCCTTACTGTTCCTGTATTAACTCTGTGATGCAACGTTTTAAGACACAGGATGGGAAGGATGGAGAACACTGGAGAAAGCTTACTTTACTAGAAACTCTGGGCACCTGATCTACACACATACTCATGTACTTGTGCAAAGTGTTTGACACTGTTGTGCACGACATCTTTGTCTCTAAATTGGAGACATGGATTTGACGGATGGGCCACTCAGTGGCTAAGGAATTGGCTGGATGGTCACACTCAAAGAGTTGCGGTCAACGGCTCGATATCCAAGTAGAGACCAGTGATGGGTGGCGTTCCTCAGGGGTTGGTATTGGAATCAGCGCTGTTCACATCTTTGTTGGTGGCATGGACACTGGGACTGAATGCACCCTCAGCAAGTTTG